GGTGTGCCAGCCACAAGTGGCTGAGATTTCTGCGTGGATGCAGCTCACGGTGCAGGACCTGGTGGGAGGCAGGTCCTCCCTCGCTGGGGACAAAGTGACACCTAGCCCCAAGCTCAGCCCCAGGCAGAGGGCAGCGGCATCTCAGCCTCAGGTGCACAGAGATGCCGAGCACGTGTCACGGCATCACCTTATTGCACCTACAAATCACACTATTGTACCAGCCCACAGGGAAAAAACCAAAAGCTCTGGGGGAATCCATGCGGGAAGCAGAGTGAACAGGGTGTCCTGAGGGGTGAAACGCCTTTACAGCACTTCAGGGAGGTGGGTTTGTTGTGGGGCTGCCAGGAGCGGGTGTTGAAGGGAAAAGGAAGAGCCTGGAGAGGCTTACCCGGGCTGAGCTGACGGTCGTGGCAGTGAAGTGGCTGCTGGAGGAAGAGACGGTGTCGCTGTAGGACATCATGGAGTAGGAGTCGGTGCCGATGCTGGGCCCCGAGGGCTGCCGAGCCTTCATGGACTCGATCTCTCTCTTCAGCACCAGGTTGTCGAAGCGGTCGAGGTCTTGGGGGGAGATCATACCCCGCACCTCTGAAAGCAGTGAGAACTGGGCCAGGCAGACAGACAACCAAAGAGAGGTTGGAGCACGACCATATTCCTGGGAAGGTGCAGACCCACCTCCCACACTGCTCAACAGTGTAACGAGCTGTACCGGCAGGGAACGCATGAGGAGACTTGGTCCTAAACTTTACCAGAAGCTTCTCTGCCACCGAACACCAGCCTTTGTCCCCCATAATATCCTACATCTAGATTTTGCTTTCGTTTTTGCTCAACGTTGACCCTGAGCAGACAACCTCGGTGGCACTGAGCCACGCTGTGACATTGGCTCTGCTCAGTCCACCGGGTACACGACACCGTCCCCGACCTTGGTGTGGCCCTCACCTTAGCATGTGTGTTGAGTAGCTCGAAGAGCGCCATGACCAGAGCATCCACGGAGATGTTGCCTTCCTTATACTCATCAAGGTAGTAGCCCATGGTCGCCCGCTCCTGTTCATTGAGCAGGTGCCGCGCCTGTTCCTCCAGCATGACGCGGGTCTGGTTCACCATGCTGCTCAGCGTCACCTGGGAGCCTGCCAGGCCCCGGTAAAACACAGGCTGCAGAAGACAGGAGATGAGGTTTTGGCCTGGGATGCCAAGGAGGGCAGCCGTCTCTCTGCTGGGCAGCGTGGGTAGGAGCGAGAACTGCCCCCTCGCTCTGGGCTCTGCCCACCAGCCCCAGCTGCGTTTCAGACCACTGCACTCACCCAGCTGCCCATGGCAAAGCTGGAAAGTGGGACTGGAAGGGAGATGCCAACTGGAATGACTGGAGGCAGGAACCCAAAGGATTCACCAGCACAGCTGCTCACCTACTGTCTCTACTTGTCTGGTAACTCCAGAGCCACGAGTTTATGCAGCACCAGCTGAATAAATAAAACAGCTCTGTTCAGCAGGCGCAGATGCTGTTCTTGAGCAGCTATTGATTTAATAGCTGCATTCCTTCCTGGCAGAGCTGGGGGAACTGGGGCCATGAGAAAGAGGCAAGTTTCCCATATTGTGTAAAAGGCACATTTGCCTCTTCTACAAGCTTGAAGCAGACCCTGGTGAAGAAAGAGCCATGGGCAACCACGGGAGTCCCAGGGAGAGACGTGTCTGGCTGCAGATGAAAGGCTTTTTTCCTTGAGAGGGATTTCTAAGAGGAGGTCCTTGCTGTTCCCCTCCCAGGCAGCGCTGGCACAGTCAGCGCAGGGATGTGGAGCCAGACAAGACCCTGACTATGCCCAGAGACACTGAGGGGAGTCGGGACTGGGGAGCACGTTTTGACAGAAAAACTTTATCAGCGAGAGCCACCTGCAAAACCTCGCCGCTTCGCTTCCATTTAAAGGAAACACGCGCTGCAAAGGGGCGCTGGGAGCAGCCGTCCTGGCGCAGAGCCGCGGTCGCAGCGCTGGGTCAGTCCCAGCTGCTGGCTGCTGTGCTGGAGAGGGCTGGCTCCGCTCCTGGAAAGATCCCAGGGGCTCTCAGGGCTCAGGGACAGCCACCTCGTAGAAGGCATCATGGTCACCTCTGCAGGGTGGAGGGGGTCCCCACGGTCCTGGCCCATGTGTGATCATTGCCCCTTGCCCATCAATGTGATCATTCCCAGGCCAGGAGGCACCAGATGTGCTGCAGAATGGGGGTACCTGCTGTGTCACTGCTTATAGAAGCACAGCTGGCAGCGTGAAGTGGGGAGGAGAAAGGCTGGAGCCAGTCAAAACCCTCTGGTCCTCATAAAACCAGCATCCCTTTAATCATCGGGAGCACACAGCCCTCCCTCCCATGGAAAATGAGAGACAGCAATAGTGATTTTTTCACAAGGAAGGCCCGAGATCATTCTTACCCTGGCTGTCGCCTCCGTGGCACGGTCGCCCACTGCCCTGCGAGGAGGGAGAAGATCAGTCAGCACTGAACGCAGCGTGACCATCACTCATCCACCACCTGAGGCCTGGCACAACATCTGGTACATACTCTCCTCCCTATGCCTGTAGAGCTAAAACCTTCAGACCCGAGAGAACAGGGAAAGTTGTCCAGACCCGAGCCACCTTACTTGACAGAGCTGATGTCTTCTAAGCACCAGATATGGGGTCCACGTGCCCAAGGACCGGGGTGCTCCCATCAACAGGTTGCCCATGCACGTTGCAATGCATCAGGCGGCCGCCGTTTCCCATGCTGGGGCAGCACAGCCCCCCAGGTGATGGTGTGCACCCTACGAGAGCTCCGGGTTGGCAGCCCCACACCACCAGCTTGCACGGGGTGTACCGAGCACGTACCCTGCGGAGTTGACAATGGTCTCTCCGATCTGGGAGCTCGTTATCCATCTGGTCTCATCCACAGTGGTGCGGGCATGGGGCAGCCTCCCGATGTCCTTCACCGTCATGATGAGGTGGCGGGAAGACTTGAGCAGCTTCACCGCCTCATCGTGGGGGATGCTGAGGAAGCTCCTGCCGTTCACCTCCAGGATCTGGTCTCCTACCTGTGGAGTCAGGATGAGGTGAGTCTGGAGGCTTTCCCATTAGGAATGTGCCACCTTCTCCCACCAGGGAGGAGCTACTCAGTCTACCCCACCACCAAAACAGGCCCACAGTAACTAGAAGCATCAAGAAAGATGACGGAGAGGGGCTGAGTGCTGGTGGCTGGAGACCAAGCACTCAAGACAACAGGCAGCAAAGGACCAGGCTGCGAAGCCTGGAGAAGCCTGTTCAGAATTCCAAGTCAGATCAACATGCCCAGTCCCCTCCATTAACTATATCTGCAGACCCGCTCGGTTAGAAATGAGCCCCAGAGAACATCAAGACTTCCAGCCCTAATCCCTCCTGCTGATCTGGGCAGCCAGGAACCATCTGTGGAAGCCCCAAACCTCTGGATCTCTGTGTGCAGCAGGGAGGGTTCATCTCGAGCGTCTCACCACAGCCTCGAGCTCTCTGTAAACTGTGGGATCTGGGACAGCTGGATTTCATCTCTCCCTTCCTCCCATTTCCTCCCCAGCTGCTCCCGAGAGCTTTCATTCTGGGGCCAGGGCCTTTGCTGTCACCAGGAGCTTCCCTGGCCATGTTCAAGTCACAGCACCCATCTGGCATTTCCCTCTGCATCCCAAATCCCATTCTCTTTGCTTCCAGGGTGCTCAGTGCCACTCCTCCTTGCTCCCGTATCACAATTCACCCCATTTCTGATAAGCCACCTCTTTGAAACTGTTCTTTCATGTCTTTGCTTAACCACAGGCTTCCGTTCAGCTCTGCCAAAACGCAGCCTTGTTTTCTGCGTGCTGCAACGCAAGCGGGAGACACTGCTTTAAATAACTCACCTCCACCTTGGAGGAGAAGAGGAGAAAAGAGGGAGCGAGAAGAATTTCTAAGGCTGAAAATAAATAACAACGTGGAGCATTAATATGATCCTTTCAGCTCAGTCCATCTCATTCTGCCGCTGGGTCACGGAAGCCTCAGAGGACTGGGATTAATTATACGGATTCTTAAAAGCATTTACTCCAGAGAGAAGCCAGGATTAACCACTGCCAAGTCTATGTGATGGGCTGTGACTCTGCTGTCACCCAAGTTTCCACCAGCGCTACCCTGAACTTCGCCAGGGTGCAGCAGTGGACATGGGGACTACCACCAGCAAAGCTCAGCTCGGCACGAAGCACGAGAGCTCCGGCGACAGCTCGGCAGGGAAGGGAAGCCAGACGCTGGTCCAAGGAGGCAGTAGCTGATCCAGAAACCGCAGTACGGCCCCTGCACTCGGACATCGCCTCTGTCGTATGCTACAGCCACGCTGAAGCTCACAGGAGCACGGGGTCAGAGCTTGCGTCAGCTGCTCTCCAGGCACAGCATCACCAGCTGAGATGGAAGAACGCCGGGGGCTGCGGTAGCAGGTCTGACACACACGTGGGCAACTCGCACACTTGTGCGCACACTCCCGCTCCATTTCGGCCAGCCTGTGCTGCTGTGCCTGGGGCATCCTATGGAGACAGGCTGAGAGCGCTGAGGTTGTTCAGCCTGGAGAAGAGAAGGCTCCAGGGAGACCTTCCAGCACCTTCCAGTGCCTAAAGGGGCTACAAGAAAACTGGAGAGGAGCTTTTGACAAGGGCATGTAGTGATAGGACAAGGGGCAATGGCCTTAAGCTGAAAAAAGGTAGATTTTGATGAGATATAAGGAAGAAATTCTTCATTCTGAGAGTGGTGAAACACTGGACCAAGTTGCCCAGAGAAGCTGTGGCTGCCCCATCCCTGGAAGTGTTCAAGGCCAGGTTGGATGAGGCTTTGAGAAACCAGATCTAGGGGAAGGTGTCCCTGCCCATGGCAGGGGGGTTGGAACTAGATGGTCTTGAAGGTCCTTTCCAACCCAAACCATTCTGTGATCCAGATGGTCACGGATTACGGAGGCAGAGTTTCCGAGTGCCAAGAAGGCACGGGCCGCTTCCCTCCCTGCCCACTGCAGGGCCATGGAGGGTCATATATGGAGACCTTAGTGCTCCTTTGGCCTTGCAAAGAGATGCAGAGAGAGATACAGCACAGAGTCTCCCTGAGAAGCAATAAAGAGATGCAAAAGAATGGGAGAACCTGAGAGTTCTGGATGGGAGAACATCCAGAAGGTGTGGAAGACAATCCTAAAATGTCTGCAGCAGCAGTAGGAGAGTGAGCCCAGGAAGAAGTCAAGATCTACCAGCAACCTCAACTATTCGGGTTAGTTCAGATCAGAGGTGTCAGAAGGGGCTGGTAAAGGTTCTTTGAAGAACCAGGCAGGACTTTGCCACTGGCCGAGATGTGACTGATGCCTCTTGAATGATCACAGAGGACACAGGTGAAAGACTACAACCAACAACTCATGGACCACTCGCTCAGAGTGCACGTGTGAGAATGACCAAGTAAGCCTGCAATAAAAACACGTGATGGGAAACTCTGGTAAGAAACACATCAAGAACAGCTCTAAAACTTGTGTCATGGCGATATCCAAGTGAACACGTGACCTTGCTGCGAGTACATTCTCTGGTTACTTCTCTGCCTGCCCAGCAAGGAAACAGAGAAAGAAATGTTCTAGAGAAGGGAAACAAAAATGATTAGTGGCAGATGAAGGTGCCTGCGAAAGGACAGATCGAAAAGATTAGGCTTGTTAAATTTAGAGACGAGATAATGTGTGGGGAGCTTGATGGAGCTATACAAAATAATGCTGGCAATAATGAGAAGCCAGAGAAGGGCTCCTGTTTACCTTCCCTCTGATAAAAGGACAAAGGATGCTCGGTGAGGCTGGAAGGACGTTCTGAGTGGCACAGAAAGGAGAAAAGGACCTGGAGCAAGAGCACCACAGAATCATTTAGGTTGGGAAAGAGCTTTAAGACCATCAAGTCCAGACGCAGCTCGGATGCAGCAGAGCTCAGTTCTGTGTTCAGTCCCACCCAGCAACCTCGAGCAGCTTTGCCTCATTCTTCTGGGACAGTTCCTTCCTCCGTGACACACAGAGGGGCTGGTGGATAGCAAAGGGCTGTGGCAGCACAGGGGAGCCCAGTCCCTACCACCACCACTGTCAGAGCCCCCGAGTTTTGTCCTCACCTGGGTCAGCCGAGGCCGTCTGCTTGGTGTCCTCATACCACTGTTAACGGGGCAGCTGCCCAGCTAATAAGGCCAAAGAGATGG